GTCTGTTTTAGAGGTCAACGTGGCAACCCTAGAGTACATAATTATTTAATCAAACACCAATTTGGGTGTTGCTATGAAGGTACTTTTTAGATGCTATTAATTACACACCATCTCAGATTATCTAGATGGGCCTGACCCCATCACTGAAAGGTAGTAAGATTAGAACTGAGGTCTCTCCAGGGAGGGAGATATTCATCCTGTGCACAGCAGCATTGACTCCTGCCTGAGAAGTTCCAGTTTGTCCTTCTGGATGGTTTGGCTCACAGATTTCAAACTTGACCAGCCAGCTCCCACAGTCACATACGACAGTTCCTCAGGATACATGTATCTTTACATTTATCCTGTGCACACACATCCATTTCCAACGGAACCCAGACTGATACACATGGGAAGGTTGGAGCAGGGAGTGGATAAGAACATGCAGGGCCAGAGTGTGAAGAGCCAGCAATGGATTGGGTGCTTCATCCTAAGGGCAAATGATTCTCCCAGAGAGTCTCCACCTACATCAAGGGCATGGAGAATGGGGAGGAAGGGGTGCCGTATGGAAAAAGAAAAGAGTGAACCAATCAGAACTTCCAACCCTTTTATTAGTTCACTGTATTTTTAACCAGAGCTTCTCCATTTTCCTTTACTTCGTTGTAGGATTTCATCTCTATTAGCTTGGTATTGTGGTAACAAAGACCTGAGATAATCAATTTATAAAAAAGAAAGTGTTTGTTTTGACAGTTTTCAGTCCACGATCTGTTGGCCTGTTGTTTTTAAGACTGTGGTGAAAAAGCACCTCATGGCAGAACCAGTCATCTAAAGCCCAGGGAGTGAAAAAGAGCAAGGAGGGGGCCAGGGTCTTATTCTCCCCTTCAAGAGCATACTTCCAATGACCTAAATACCTGCATCTAGACCCCAAATTTTAAAGGTTACACCATCTCACTACATTGCTGACATGGGTCTACTGTACTGGTCTTTCTGCTATTTATTTATAGTTTTTAAAAATTAGTGTCTTATAGATGTATATGATGGTGAGATTCATGTGGCTTACTCATCTATGTACATAGGAAAGCTAGGTCAAATTTATTCCACAGTTCTTCCCTTATCCTGTCCAGCCTTACCTTCAATGCCCTTTCTCTACTCCACTGATCTTTCTCCTATTTTGATGAAATATATATCCCCTTTCTTTTCTTATAAAAGGAACCTTATGTCTAGCAAACTCAGATTTTAAACATGATGATAACATTCCCAGATAACAAATAAAATTGAGATAATTCATTACTAGTAGACTCATCTTAAAATAAATACTAAAGGAACTTCTTTAGACTGAAAACAAATAATACGAGACAATAATTTTGAACCTTCTCTAATAAACAAAAATATTTGTAGAGGTAATTATGTATATAATTACAAAAGGCATTATACTTCAATATTTTTCTTCCTTCTCTTAAATAAATAATACAAAAAACAATTGTATAAAACAATAAATGTATAATTGTATCACTGAATCTATCACATACAGAAATATAGCACACTTTAAGAGCACAAAGGAGCTAAGAGAGAGCAAAGTTCAATTGGATTAAGGAAATGTCACAAAATAGCGAAAGAAATGAAAAGAACAAGAAATAACAAATGAAAGATTAAGATAACAAATTTTATAAATATATATATATGTTTTTCTTCTCTCAGTTTCATTAAAAGGCAAAATTAAATTAAGCAATAATTATGTTACTCTATTTTTGTGTTTATATATGTATAGTGTCACAGTAATAGTATTGAATAAAGAGAACAGGGATAGACCTATGTCAGGGTAACATTTTTATACCTCACTGGAATTAAGTTTAGTATAAATCCAAGGTAGATTGTGATATTATAGGTCCTAGGGCATCCACTAAGAAAATAATTAAAATTTTACCCTAAAAAGCATTAAAGAAATTTAAATAATAGTTTAAAAATTCACTTAATGCAAAAAAAAGTAAAGAAGCAACAGAGGAACATGTAATTTACAGAAACATATCAAAAATGGCAGAAATAAATCCAACCACATCAGTGATGACATTGAAGATTAATTAATTAGGTGGGTATGGTGGTACACACATGCAATAGCAGCTAGTTGGGATGATAAGGCACAAGTTTGAGACCAGCCTGGGCATTGGACAAAATCCTGTCTCAGAATAAAAATAAAAAGGGTTGGCTGAGGATGTAGCTCAGTCCACAAGTTCCTGTTTTACTGCTAGTACCAAAAAAAAAAATTAGTGATTGAAAATTCAAAGTGAAGAAATCATCAGATTGGATAAAATAAGATCAAACTTGTAGAAATAAGCTTTCCATAAAATACAAAATTTACATTAAAAATACAAATAGATTGAAAATAAAAAGATGGAAATAGCAACCATATGGCAGCTAAAATAGTGATGCTATCAAACAAAATAGACTCTGGAAGAGAAATATGTTATTAAAGAGAAAAATGGATATTTTATGATACGTTTAATCCATTAGGAAGATATAACAATTATCAGCATGTATGCATCTAGCCACAGAATCCCCAAATATATGAAGCAAGATCTGAAATCATTAAAGAGAGAAATCAGTAATTAACAGCAAAATTTGGAAATTACACCACCTTCAATAATGGATAAAACGCCTGGGGAATAGACCAACAAATACTGAGAACTGGAAAATGGAACAAAACAACTAAACCTAACAACACAGCATACAAATTATTCTAAGAGCACGTGAAATAGTCTCCAAGATAGATCATATTCTAGGCCTTAAACTTTACCTTACTTAATTTAAGTGGATGAGACCATACAAAGTAACTCCAGGTTTGGAATGTAACTCAGAGGTAGAGTACTTGCCTGGTATGTGCCAGGTCATGGATTCAACCCCCAGAACTGGGAGGGAGGGAGGGAGGGAAAGTATGATCTCCAATCAAAACGGAATGAAATTAGGAATTAATAATAATTAGAAAATTGGATAATTCACAACTATGTGAAAATAAAAGAATATACTCCAAAATAATAAATGAGTTAAAGATAAAATCACAAGAGAAATTAGAAGCTACTTTGAGCTTAATTAAAATGATACAACATACAAAAACTTAGAAGATATAGCTAAATTAGCACTTACCATTTTATTTTATGTATTATTAGTGCATTATATTTATAAATAATATTGGAATTCACTTTGACATAATCATACATGCATGGAATATAATTTGTTCCACTTCAGTCTCCAGTACTTGCCCTTTCCCTCCAGACCTCCCTCCCCCTCTTATTCTTCCTCTGGCCTTCTGTGTATGTATAGTTTTTTTTTTAATTAGTGCTTTATGTATATACATAAGGTGGTATTTACTAAGCTACATTCATATATATATACATAGCATAATTTGTTCAATTTCATTCTGCAATTTCTCCCTTTCCCCCTTTCCTCCTCTCTCCTCTTCCTGTGCGTCACTGATCTCTCTACAATTTTCATGGGCTTCCTCCAACCTCCTGGTTACTCCTTGGTCTAGCTTCTGCTTATGACAGAAAGCATTTAACCTTTGACTTTCTGAGTTTGGCTTATTTTGCTTAGCATGATGTTCTCCAGTTCCATCCATTTGCCAGCAAATGCCATCATGCTATTCTTCTTTATGGCTGAGTACCACTCCATTGTATATATACCACATTTTCTTGATCCATTCATCTGCTGGCAGGCACCTGGACTATTTCTATATCTTGGCTATTGTGAATGACATTAAAAACAGCACTAATTTTATAAATAAATTTATATCTGCAAATGACTCCACTAAAAAAATAGCTCAAATAAATTATTTATCCTAGAGAGAACTAAGCCTAAACAACAGAAACAAGGACATAAGGGTCAAAGTGGAAATGAACAGAGGACAAAATTGATAAAATCTATGAAACCCAAAGTTGATCTTTGAAATATGTTATCACATTTAACATTACTGGGTTTGTGATTACTGAATCATGCCCGGACAGACCCAGGGCTGAAGATGAGGCTGCAGGATAAGGGGACTGATGGAGGGAATGGGTTGGGGGTACATTTCAGGTAGGGCTATAGACCTGGAAAACTTCCTTTCAGTGTACAAAGCCTTCTACCACACCTCTTGTGGGGCTCTGCGCGGCACAATTTAGGACCCATTACCCCCACAAGGCAGCGCTTCCCCCTAACTCCTGGAACATTCTTGATGTAGAATTTCCTTTCTCTAGACTGTCCCTCCAGTCATTGGTCCACTCCACTCCCTGAACTACCTTCAATAAAGACAATCTCCTTTCCCACCACAAGCCCCTGCCTCCCCAAAGCGAGTCGACCTCCTCCAGGCAGCCCCTGGAGGAACAGATTGGGGCTTTCCTATCCTGGCCGCCCCATCCTCCTCCTATTCACTGACGGTGGTGGTCGGCTTCCCTGCGTGCCTGCGGGTGCCAGGTACAGCGAGACGCTCATTCTACAATGTGAAGAAGAAGTCTCTGTGACATAAATTCTACCCTCAGTATCAGCTCAGGGGTCGCCTCCTGCAGGAAGCCTTCCTAACTCAGCAGGTGGGTTCCTCTTTCCCCTGGGGACTTGCAGAGCGCCTCTGATCTAAGTCACCACTGCATGAGTAACAGCCCCTGTCCGGACGCCCCCGTCTCACACTGGAAACTTGGTAAGGGGAAGGACTATGGCTCGTTCTCTAGGGATCCTGGGAGCCCAACACCATTGATTTCAGGGACCACGACATTAAGGGAAGCAGAGGCAGGGAAGGAAGGGTGAAGCGTGGAAACGTTAAGAAGCTGAATGAATGAGCGGGTGGCACCTAATAGTCTCCCTTTCGTAGCTGTTAGAACATGCGTCTACCTTGCGGAGGTGAGTAGTAGGAATGGATGACCCCTCTCCAGTTAGAAACTAGCGATCAGACACCACCAGCGCCACAGGACCGCACGGCGGGGTAATAAGTGGGGGAACGCGGGGGCTATTGTTAGAGGCGGGGCTGGGACCAGGGGGCGGGACCCGGCGACTGCTGCTCTCTGCGAACGGAAGCCACCGACGTGGCACCGCCAGGTACAGAAGGGCGCCGACAGCCGTGCGGAAGTTACCCGCGTCCCCTGAGCCCACTGCCAGCGGTGCTCACAGTCTGCAACCATGCCCTCCTACACGGTCACCGTGGCCACTGGTAGCCAATGGTTCGCCGGTACCGACGACTACATATACCTCAGCCTCGTGGGCTCCACAGGCTGCAGCGAGAAGCACCTGCTGGACAAGGCTTTCTACAACGACTTTGAGCGGGGCGCGGTGAGGACGCGCGCGGCTGGGCAGGGGAGCGCCGGGCTGCCTCTGTGCCCCAGAGACCTGGACGCGGGAGGAGGGGCGGGCCTGAGGGCCAGTCCTGGCAAACAGGGCAGGGCAGGGAGGGCTGGCCTGGATTGGGATGTAGTAGACTGGAAGTGGGACTAGGGATCACCTCCAGTCTACTACAAGGACCGTCAGGGCAGTTGGGATATGGCTGGGGGCGCCTTCAGGATTCAGCAGTGGCGGCAGCCAGGTCTAGGCTTGGGGGCACCTGAGTCCTTGTCAGTGTGAGCTGGACTGTGGTGAGGGAACGGACTGAATTTCCTGGCCATAGGGATCTGGTAGGGGACCTTGAGTTACCTGTGTGCCTTCTGCAGGGTGCCATTGCTTCTTCCCTGGGAAAAGGAACAATGTTTCCTCTCCATTTTACGAAATGGAGCTCTGAGCCCCTTCTTTGGGCAAGTGTTGTAGCCGGTATTTCTTTTGCCCTTGCTTCTTAGAAGTGCTAGCAAAGGGGATGAGAGAGGTCCTTAAAGAGTCTTTAAGTCCTTTGTCTTGCTGTGAAGCACAGACACCATCTCAGACAGACATGAGCTGTGGGAAGAAGGTGCAAATCAGGGAGTTCAGAGGCCCTAGTCCAACCTTGGCTTGACCGCTAGTTTGATCCTCTAACCTCCCTGTGGACCTCACTTAGGCCAACTGTAAAATAGGTTGGCTTCTGTCTGGTCTATGAGTCATGGTCCCACCTGGTGGCTGAGAGTGGCTTTCACAAGTGTCTTTTACATCAAGACAGCTTCAGAGTTTACAGGTAAGGATAAAGCAAACCCAGGTGAGGAGAGACCTTTGAGAGTCATAGGGGTACTTGCCACTTCTGGCAAAAGTATACCAGAGAACCCTTTAGATACGTAGAAGAGGAAAAGGGCTTCCCTTCATTTCTTCATCTTTGGTAGAGGTTCCCTGGAACCTGGGAATTTGAGGAGCAAAAGCAGCCCACATTTATTGAACCTCTATTCTATGATGCCAGACACTGTGAGAAGCCATGCACAGGGTGACCTCATTTAGCAGCAAACTCCTGATGCTGACTGGGGTGTGGATTTCATCCCATGGCTTTTTCTGGTGAGCATGGGTAAGTCACAGTTTTCAGTGCCTCACCTAGCACCTCGTGCATAGGAAGTGCTCAGCAAATAACTGATAATAGTTCCAGACATACTGCAAATGCATAGGAAAACCACATTTCCTTCCACTATCCCACAACCAAAAAGACTGAGACTTTATCAAGTTACTTTCTCACCATATAGTTTATTAGGTCAACCCACATGAAACTTGTCAGAACTATTTACAAACAGACACAATTTGTAATTTTCATGTTTCAATTGAATGCTTTTTGGATAAATGTCACACTGTTCTGGCTTGCAGAACATAAGTAAGAAAATAAGTCTGCTCTTTTTCTGGACTCCAAAACCCAAGTGGGCTGAATTCTTATCCTGCAGCCTCAGAAACATGCTGTAACCTGACTTGGCACTTAGCTAAGTTTAGCACACTTTTAACCTGGCTTGAGCTCCCTTCACAGAAATTTAGATGTTGAGAGTAAGAACTTCTGTTGCTTGGTTCCCAATCAAGGAACTGGCCCTGAGGATCATGATGCAGTGGAGTTAATGTGTCATTCATTTGGGTTGTTGGCATCCTTTGCCATCTCTGAAGCACCTTCATTTGTCTCCATTATATCATGGATCCCCTCACCCCAGTGCTTGGGGCAGGAAAACAGAGAACAGATTACTTCCCCTTTATAAATGAAATACAGTGGACCCCATTCTCTACACGCTGCAAGATTCTAGAAGCTCAAGGCCTTCAGAGCATAGGCTCTGCAGCATAGTTTATACAACCCATGTGTGTTTCCTCCCAGGAGAGGACACAGTGACAGAGCCATCATGTAGTCCTTGGACAAAAGGTGAGAGTGCAGCTCTGTTCATTATTTCCCTCTGTTTTGACTTTCTATCCTGAGAAGTCATTCAAATGGCATTGTGACTGAACACCTCAGTGAAAATTCCAGAGGCAAATTTCAGGAGAGATTTGCATGCCACATTTCCATTGGGCTGAGAGCAGCTGTCAAGAGGGGCAGCTGCACTATCAGGAACCAGCTGGGTGAGAAAGGTCCTTTGAAAAAAATCAGATTTTGAGAAAGTTCCTGTTGATGCAAAATTACTTCATACTTTATCTTGCACAGCCCAGAACTGCTTCCTCATTCTCTAGGCAGTATATCTTTAAAGACAGCTGTCCCTTTTGTGTAAAGGTAGAAAAGAAATCTTAGCAGAAGTACTTACTAAAAAGATAAGGCTATTCCATTTTACTTGGAAAAGTGTTGCAGTGGTTACCATTAACAACAACAACAACAACAACAACAATAATAATAATAATAATAATAATATGTCCACACAACCAATTCAATAATTTCCAATTTGACCATTTCCAGGTTGTAGCAGGTCAACAATCCCCTTCTCAATGCATATTCAGTCCAGTAATGGACAGGACTGATCGTTTATTTTTTTCAATAAACTGAGTTACAAATTTCTGATTATTGTCATCAGATGGTGATTCATCTCAAGACCAGGAATGGAGTCTTTCTCAGGTAGAATTCTCCTATAAGCATTATATCTTCATTTATTCCCCGCTGTCTGCTGGACAAAGCTGGGGTGACACCAAATGACCTTGTTCCTAGGGGTTAGCCAGCCTCTTGGCAAAAGTGAAAAATTGATTGTGTCTTTAACTCTGTAAACTTAAAGTAATTTAACTCAAATGGGATGACCTTAACATTCTGAAGATTACTGGAGAAATTTAGTTGGCCCATTTCACTCTACTGTAGTACTTTCAATGACATCAGAGGGTAGGCTCTGTGGGAGAGTGCTGGCCTAGCATGCTACAGGCACTGGGTTTAGTTCCCAGCAAAACACACACACTCTCTCTCTCTCTCTCTCTCTCTCTCTCTCTCACACACACACACACACACACACACACACACACACACACACACACACACA